CCAAACAAACACACAGGAGGCTATATTAATTATGAAGCTGTTGGCCTTGTTTGTCTCTTACTGGCTAGCTCTGCCTTAAGTAATTACCCCATAATTGTTAATCTAAGTATGTTTCTTACTGGAGAATAGTTCCCGGCGTCCTACCCCCATGGCGTCACATGTTGACTCTCCTGTGTTTCTCCTACCCAGAATCCTCCTGGATTCCTAGCCCCTCCTATCTAGGTTTTCTATTGGCCAGACAGTACTTTATTGACAAATGCACAGGCAAATAACAGGACTTCCCCAACAATAACTACTCACGAGCTTGATAGTCTTCTCTTACAGTTCTGGAAGGCAGAAATCTGCCATGCATCCTTCCAGATGCCTAGGGGAAAGGTCTATTCTTGGCCTTCCAGCTATAGTGCAACCAACAGAGCTCCAGTCCCCATTCCCATCAAGACACAGTCTTGTTCTCCTTCTTAAGCCTCCCTCCTTGTCTCATAAGACATACTTGTGTTGGTTTTAGGACCCACACAAATAGCCTTATTTGACTATTGTTTCCATAATCACACCTGACAGCCTTTACTCTGTGAGGTAGGTTTGAGGTTCCAGTGTGGGATCTGATGTCATTGGAGTTCACAGCTCACTCTGAAGTGCATAGACACAGACTATGTACACCATTTAGTAGGCTAAACAAAGAGAAGGGTACAGAGCAAGTGACACCCCAGGGTTGGCCACTATCCACTTTGCCCTCACTGATCCTAATTGCAGATAATTATGCAGTACCTTGTGGTCTCTATACTCCGATGTCCATGTATCCAACCACTTAGAGGGAAAATATTAAAATAGGTTGTATCTACTGAAAATATCTAGTTTTCTTGTCATTATTCCCTAAGCTATGCAGTGTAACTCTTGACATCACATTTGTATCGTGTTAAGCATTGTAAACCACTCTTACTTAGATGATTTGAAGTGTAGGGACCACATGTGTAGGTCACATGCAAACTGCCCAGGGCCTTAGCCCTTGCCAACTGTACTTATTAAATGGCTGCCGAGTCCAGCTGTGTTGAAGGCACGTCTACTTCCATGATTTCATCTTTTACTCCCCCGAGCCTTTGGAAATGTGTCATTGCCCCAGTTTTGCAAAGTCAAAAACCTAGGAGAGTGTAAGGGAGGTGAATCATGGCAGATCATACAGATGGCAAAGTCAGGATAGAGTTCCTGTTGTGAGCTGCTCTCTCCAAGGCTAGACCTCTTCATGTCAAGCAAGTATTCCAACTGCTGTATGGCAGGTTTGTGTCTTGTATTGCTCCAGTGCCGACCAGCTAACCCCAGGCTCTTGCTGTAGTCCTGTGGATTGAGTTGAATCGCTTTTTGAAGTGCAGATGTGGAAAAGAGGGAGAGAGAGAAAATGTGACATTGGCTCTCTCTGATGCCACTATGACAGAGCCTGAATAAGCTGCCGCTGGCAATGCAAATCTTGTCTGGGCAGCTGTCAGGCCTGGAAAAAAAGATCTAGGGGCTGAGGCAGACAGCCGTATCTCCTTGATGTTTGTACCATACAGGGAAGGGACAGTCCTTTTCTGTGTGGTTGTGGGAAGCAGGATCCACAGGTGCCCTGGATTGTCCTGCCTTGACCATGAGGCATGGGGCACTAGGGCCTGTATACTGCCTTCTAGCTTGACATGCTCTGGTTCTCTTTGTCTCTTTCCTACTGGCTTCCTTTGACTTTTCTTTATCTTATTATTTCCCTGCTTTCTGCTTTCTCCATGAGGAGACAAGTCCCTTGATGACTGAGTATATGGTAGCTTCTCATGTAGTTCATATGACATGTGTACAAGGTACCCATGGGTACCCAGCCCTCATCTCTCATTTATAGAGACCACAGTTGAAATCCACATCCTTAATCAGGGTCTCACAGATGGGTATAAGCAGAGGGAGGATTTGTTTTTTGTTTGTTTGTTTGCTTTAAAAGATTTTATTTACTTATTATTATGTATACAGTATTCTGTCTGCATGTCTGCCTGCAGGCCAGAAGAGGGCACCAGATCTCATTACAGATGTTTGTGAGCCACTGTATGGTTACTGGGAATTAAACTCAGGCCCTTTGGAAGAGCAGCTAGTGCTCTTAATCACTGAGCCATTTCTCCAGCCCCAGAGGCAGGATTTGAATCTGGACCCCTGCCCCAGTATGGCCCCCGCAGGAATCACATAGAAGAAGAAAGTAACCAAACACCGTCGGTTTGAGCAAGTGGCTTCAGGCATTAATCCCCAGCCTTGCCTTCTGTCCTCACCTGGCATTCTGCTTTGGACCTGCAAGGACCTGTTCCTGGAGACTGCACTTCTCTGCCCACAGCTCACAGTTAGTTGAGACTTCTGCTTTGGCATCTGAACCATTGTGACACAAACCCATTTTCTTTCCTACAATCAAGTGACAGTGACAGCCTCTCACACCTGCCTTGGTGTCTGTTATTCTTCACCACAAAGATCTGCTGCCCATCTGGTCTGGGGGGCCATTGGGCTTCTTGGCCTCCTGTCTTCTCGGTAGTCTGCTTGAGTTTTCTTCCACTGGGTGCTGGGATCTCATTTCTCTCCACTTTTTTTCCTTCTCACATTGACTAGCAGGAGGCACAGTTCCAGGTAGGGGACCAGCCTCCAGGGCAGGGGCTATAGTGGGTATTCACTCTGCCCATGACCTTGGGCTATCTGGCCTGATAGAGGAGGTGCTTCTCATCTGTAGACATGATCTCTTAAAAGGAAAGGGGAGGGGCTCACACTCTCTTGGCTGATGAAGACCAGGTCAGGCAGCAGGAAGCAGCATGTGACTGGTCTACAGCTTTCCAAGGACTCTGCAACTGGATTTACCACATCCTGTATCCATCAGTGTATTTTCCCCTTGTCGTAGCTTAATAAGTCTTTAATACCCCTTAACATGGATTTCCCGCTACAGTGGGGGTGCGCAGTGAGTTAAATGAAAGGCAAAGCCATGGGTTGACTTCCAACCTGAGTAAGGCCATCTTTGTCTTCATGCTGCCCCAGTCCACCCTTTGAAGCAACTCAGACCAGGAAGCCTGCAAGTCTGTGGCTGATCCTGCCCTACTGTGTTTCAGGTCACTGCCAGGGGGACGGCTACCGTGTTGGTTTTGGCCAGTGTGCTGGGAAAGTGCTGCCTGCCCTCTCGCCAGCCTGAGGCTCCAGAAACCACAGGCCACAGCCTTGCCTGCCAGGGACGATGCTGCTGCCGCCCTTCATCCAGGAATGAATAAAGCCATTTCGCTTGTGGGAAATGCAACAGAGTTCTGGGTCCTTGGTTTTGTCCAGTGGGTCAGTGTGTGCTGCTCCCATGGAGGCAATCATTAACTCATCTCTTCCAGGTGTGAGGGCCCTGGTGGGGTTCTTCATCAGGCACCTCAGGCCTTCAATACTCCATGAAATGTGGGAAGAGGGTGGCCCCTGAAGTATTAAGCACTCCCCAGAGAGTTACAACCAATGTGTCTTGCAGGCATGCATGCATATGCATGTGTGTTCATGGAGAGAAACACACACACACACACACACACACACACACACACACACACGGATGGGCTATTATAGAGACTTAAATCTCCAAGTGCACACCTGGTCCAAGGATAGAATGAGCAAGAGTCCTGATGTTCACCTTTGTCCTTCATACCCATTGCAGCCCAGAAGCCACCCTGCCTGAGGTCCTCTGTCCCCACTCTATGCAGCAGCCCTGGCCCAGTTTTTGAGTGATAAAAGGAGACAAGGTACCCATGACTCTTCTTGGGCTAGGTGAGTGAGAATTCAGGCATGCTATATAATAATCATTCGTTATTCATTCATGAGCTTTGTAACTTTCTGGCCTTCCTGAATCTTTTGAGTTCCTGAGCTCCTTCCTTTGTTTCCTGGGGGGGGTTCTTTTTGGAGGAAATATTTGCCCAACACTCAACCCCTTTCTCCAGCTTTCCCCTCCTTCTTCTGAAAGGTCCCTTGAGCCTTAGAGAGGATGATACATATGTCTTCTTATTTTCTTCTATTTCTTCTAATTTATACATTAGAATTGGGCCACTATATCACAGAAACAGTCACTTTTCCTCCAGTTGACCCCCTCATGAAGTTCCATAAAATCCTATTCCACTACAAAAAGAAAAAGAAGTTTCCCTCTATGATATAAGCTGATAGTTGCAGTAATTTAAGAATATATGCACAAATGTTTAGAATATGATTTGTTAGGCACATATTCCTGTTTAACAAACAATAGCAGTCACCTCCTCAACTACTGTGATTTGCCCTGGCTGACAGTTTCAAACATAGGTTCCCTCTTGTGGGATAGGCCTTAAATCTATTCAGAACATGGTCGATTGCATTTATAACATCCATTTCACTATGGTACCAGTAGGCACATCTTGCCTGACATGTTGATAGCATGGTATACTAGGCACTAGATCAATAACCAAGGAGGACCATCAGCGAAAAATTTCCCTCTGAGGCCTGTATAGCACCTTCAGGCTCTACAAAATCCACTCATAAAGGGAGCCACTAGGTCATTCTCAGCTTGATTTCTCAAGGTCCTTTAGCCAAAGCATGTGGTGCTTTCTTTTTTTTTTCCTGATTTTTTTCAAGACAAGGTTTCTCTGTGTGGCCCTGGCTGTCCTGGAACTGTTGCTGTAAATCAGGCTGGCCTCAAACTCACAGAAATCCACCTGCTTCTGCCTCCTAAGTGCTGGGATTAAAGGTGTGAACCACTGTCCAGCACATGTGGTGCTTTCAACAATACAGACTTAACATCTACTTCAGGCATGCAACCTACAGCAGAGGCAATAGATTTTATGGGTTACAATGCCCTAGTCACCACTCTGCCAGCAACTTGTAGGGAGTGCAGAAGCTGCAGCTGTCCTCCTGGAGGACACTCTGTTTCTCCATCTGCCTTGCCTCCACCCTCAGAAACAACTGGTAAAACTGTAGTATAGAATGATTTTTGGACGACTTAATTTCAGTGAATGACTTATTAAAACATTATCTATCCCTTTTATATTTTATTGATTTTTTAAATTGATACACAAATTATACATATTTATAGCATATCATAGGATGTTTTGATATGTGTGCACATTGTGCAGAGCCAAGTCCAGGTAACCCTGGAGATCACCTCAAACATTACTTCTTTGTGGAAGAGGCATTCAAAATCCTTTCTGCCAGCACTTTTGAATTTGCAGCACAGTAATACAACAGAGCTTATTTCTTTAACTGTAACATAGGACATAGTGACCAGGTCCCCTTACCCCATCCCCAGTCTCTAGTAACCACCATTCTCCTCTCAGCTTCTGGGGAAGCAACATTTTTTTGACTCTGTATGTGACATCACGAGTACTTGTTTTTCTGTGCTTGGCTCATTTCACAAAATGACCTCCAGTTCGATCTGTGTCCCAATGACAAGGCTCCATCCTTTCTACAGATAAATCAGATTCCACTGTGCTTAGGTACCACATTCTCTTCATCCACTCATCCACTGATGAATATTTATAAGATTTCCAGCTCTTGGCTCTTGAGAATGGGGCTGCAATCAACATGGGAATGAAATACTTTGAAATACTGGTTTCATTTCCTTTAGATATACACTTAATGTGGGATCTTATGGCACGGTAGTTTAATTTTGTGGTGTTTCTATCATGACTGTGTTAACATATCTTCCAGATAATGGCATGAGTCATGAAATTGAGTTTTCCACACTCATAATAACCATACATGTTCTGGGTTGGGAATCTGGTAACTCACAATGAATGCTTCTACGGGTGATCATGGTGGGATTCTGATAAACTGGAAGATGGCTTTGTGCTATGTGGGCTTTATTAGGGGAACCAGTGTACAGAAAAGGGGATTTATGCGCTGTCGGGCAATCTTTCCCATACCGTAGAAGCCATAGGATTGCTGTTACCCCATAGGGGAAAAGGAGACTCACTCTAGAGCCTAAGGGTTCACTGGCACACTTGGTACATCTGGTGTCCTGTGTGTCTATTCTGAAAGTCTAGGATTCACATTCCTTATTAGTTCTGTGGCGACTCAGATGTTCTTTGCCTTGGGACTACAGTTCCAGGAGCTCCAGCGGTCCTCTTCCGGGAGTTCTAAAGTGCTTCTGGCTAGACCTGCAAAGCCTCTCCCTAAGTTCTTTTGGCATATGTTAACTTGATGAAAACAGGACAGGAATTTGTCTCCTCTCTGAATGAGGTAAAATGCCCCCACAGCTGAGGGATGCGGTGTGGAGGGGGGACATGTCACCTAGATTGCTGTCCATCCCAGGCCTCATGACTGCTACAGAGGAGGTTGTGCTAGCCTCTCTGCCTTACACTGGCTACATTCCAGTGTAAGGTCTGGGTAAAAATGGGGCAAAACTGACATTATCTGGGGCAATATGGTGTCCACAGGACTGTTTCCTTAGGATTAGCGTTTGCCTCTTCATTTTAGCAGAGTTTATGATGGTTGTTCAGTGTTGCTTCAGGTGGGCTGTGCTGGTTATTTGTTAGTTATTCCGGTGTGCTGACATACATAGAGCCTATTATTCAGCAAACCCATCTTTTAGTGTCTATTATTTTTGGACATTGGGAGACTGAGAAATGAGGCAAAAGGTATCTGCAGCTCTTGCCCTACTGGCCTGGAATTGTGCAAGGACTTTCTTTTTCTCTGGTTCTGGGGATTGAACCCAGGATATCAATCATCTTGGGCAGATGTCCTACCACTGAGCTATAGTCCAACCCTAGGTAAGAGTATTAGATGTACCTGTGGTACAGCTCCTTTTGCCTGACTCCACCATGCAGCAACCTCTGCTGGGATCTAGTCGTCCTTCCTTGTCGCTTCAGGCCTAGAAAAGTCTGCTGTCTCATTGAGGGCTGTCCTTGGTATTTGCCATTCTGTTTCCCTGTACTCTGTGAATGTACTTTCTTTGACTCTATTAATATTTCAAGTGCGCCTCTCTCCTGTTAGCCACTGACAGGCAGAGAGCCTTCCCTGGGCTGGGGAAAGGGGGGAAGGAGAGAAAGTCTTAGTAGATGACTGTCAAGGACTTATGGAGTCAGCATAGACGGGCAGGAGCAAGTATGATTGAGACTGTCTGTCTATAACTGTGCCAAAACTGATGTGGGAAACTCAATGTGATCACTTCTCAGTAGCCTGGGCCATCATCTACAGAGACTCTTATGGATATTACCCATGCTGCATGGCAGGACCAGTCCTCAACAGCAAGGCAGTGGGACAGGGACCTGTTCTTGTGGACAAAAGGATTTGCAATTGTTTCTGCTTGGCGCTTGAAAGCAGCACTGGCCTCTTTTGGAAACCTCTGGGGTTCTGGGGGCAATTTTGTGGGGTGGAGAGCCACTTGTTTTTTCATCCTAGCAAGGACATTGTAGGGCTAGAGGCAAATCTCAATGACAGAATGCTGGCCTCACATGTAAAAGGCCATGAGTTCCATACCCAACAATGTGATCACTCCATCAAAACAAGACAAAATGTGGACATTTGAATTGGAAAAGGAAAATGGCTGTGGTGGCCATTTTTATGCCACACTGAGTCAGCTGGATCCCAACACTTAACATCAACCAGCCTCTGAGAATGTCCAGGGACCACCTTCCTCCTGGTGGCTATCATCCGGCTTTCCTGTTTCTAACATTTTTATTACCTGATTTGTCTCCGGGACACCTGGGCCCTTTCTGTGGCCTACCACACAGAGGGACCCGCTGTTGCAGTTACACAGGTGTGAAAGGACTGTGCATCCGCCTTTGCTGAGAGCTTGAGGCATAGCGACTTCCACATAGCACATCGCAGGCAGCAACTTGAGCCCAGTCACCAGATGCCTTTGTCATCCATTCTCTTCCATAGAGAGTTTGCCTTCTTCCCTGACTTGTAGCTGACGCTATCTTTTTTTTCTCCAGCCTCTCTTCATTTCCTCTCTGCCAACTTCCAGCCTCCAGCACTAATAATTTGCCGCAGTGTTTCCTCCTTTGTGCACAACTAGAGACTTCTCTCAGCCAGCCGAAACTTAGGAGGCTGTTGTAGTCTCCAGGGGACCACTTCCTCCATCCTTCAGAGCAGAGAGCACAAGAGAAGGAAAACTTGAAAGTCTCCCACCTTTCTCATCTTCACACGATCAAGCGACAGAGATGGGACCTCCCTTCTTGCAAGAGGCGTGCTATCAATTTTCTTTCTCCTTCTCATGAGCCATCCCCAGGCTCAGCATAGCTGCTTCTACCATTTCTTTCCAGCATAAGTATAAATGAACAAGGAAAGCCATATGAGTATTTTCTGTAGTGGCCTGTATTGCTATGCACGTGGGGATCCTGTTACCAACAGACCTTCAACATGAGAAACGTGGGGGAAGCTGGGAAATTGGCTCAGTAGGCACAGTGCTTGCTGTGCAAGTGTGAGGACCTGAGTTTGAATCCCCGTGAGTGCAGCAGCGCGTGTCTGTAATTTCAGTACTCCTGTGGGAGATGGCAGGCAGAGAGAGGAGAATCCCTGAAGGCGTGTGGACCAGCTAACCTGGGGTACAGAGTGATGAACAACTAAGAAGAGACTGTCTCAGGCAAAGAAAGGGAGGACCAACACCCCCAGCTTGGCCTCTGACCTCCACACATGCACTGTGGCAAGTGCAGGCTCACTTTCAAACACCATGTTCATGTCATGCACCACACACACACACACACACACACACACACACACACATGCACCACACCATACACACATACAATCACACACAATGTTACAAACAAGAAGAAGCAATGATGTGAAAAGCGATTCCAGTTGAACAAGTATCTGAAGCTACACAACCAAAGGTACTTGTGGACAGCTTGCAAGAGGATGGACATGAGACAGGAGAGGGTGGACACAAAGTAGAAACAACCACTTTGTTGCTTTGGCAGGAGCTTGACTGTGGAGGGGTGGGGTGGATTTGGAAGTCACCTCTTTCCTCAAATGATATCTCCCCTTGCCATGAAAACAGCCCAAAGAGATAAGGTGAAAAATATTAAGGTGTCTAGGTTGGGGAAGCCGTGTGAGACCAGGGGCCCTGGACAGTGTTTCTCAAACAGGGATGCACTACCATCCAGAAATCAGGCTAACGTAGGTTCCTGGGCCCAGGCTGCCTATTCTGACTCTAGGCTGTCTAGTCTGTAGGTCTGGGGAGGAGACGATGGACATCTAGCTGTCTCCCGTGTGCAGGTACGGTTTGCCCTCAGCAGGTACTCTGAGGATCACAGCCTGAGGCATCCCTCCAGAGAGCTCCAAAAGGAAGTCTTCAGAGCTCTTCATAGCTCTTCTCCTTCCTGTACCCTGTCGTTAATAACTGGGAACAGGCTCTGGCTGACTTTGTAAACCCATCCTAACAGGTTCCCACAGAAGTGCCTGTAGTCTGTGAGGTAGGTTTCTGAGGAAGGCTTGGCTGAAGGTGATGCTTCATAGCCATGCTTGGAGCCTGTGCCAGCTGCTCCTGTGTGTGTGTGTGTGTGTGTGTGTGTGTGTGTGTGTGTGTGTGTGTGAGAGAGAGAGAGAGAGAGAGAGAGAGAGAGAGAGAATACAAACAGGGATACAGACAGAGGAAGACAGAGATATAGAGACAGAGACACACAGAGAGATAGAGACAGAGACAGACAGAGACAGAGACTGGCAACAATGCCCTTAAAAGTCACCTCAACAGTATCTGTCCACTTTTAGGGGTCAACTAGTAGTGACAGTGCATTGGAAACCTTTCTCCTGGGCAGCCTGATGCGCATGGGGACCCGTGGCTTGAGTGTAAGTGATGGGGGAGGTCTGAGATCCACAGCACAGGTCTCTTTTGATAGGGTAGCAGGTCCTACCCTGGAAGGACACAATAGATGCACCTCACATATGTGAAAAAAACTGACAATAGTGGCGATGATGTGAATCATTAGATCCCGTATGCTGTGGTGTCATGCATAGAAGAGGTCACTGTGAATGTTCTGCTGGCCAGTAATACTGGCCAGGAGCTCTGGCTCTCAGAAAGCAGGGTTCGATTCCTAGGGTGAAAGATTCCGGGAAGGGCGCTCCTGTTTGTTCATGTTCTCCTATCTTATCTCCACAACAACCTTGTGAGGTAGATGTTACTCCCATTTTATAGATGAGGAAATTGGAGCTCACAGGTGCTGATTCATAGGGGTCATATTACAAGAACACAGGAGTTGAGGCTGGTGGGGGCAGGTTGTGGATTCTGACCTAAAATCCTTGCAGCAAGGTCATAGATGAAGGTGACAATGTGTGGGAGAAGAGGATGGAGGAAAGAGAAGAGTGATCACCAGCAGCCTAGTCTCGGCTCCCGCTGTAGCATGGCTGCTTTCACTGACAGACAGACTTCCCTTCTACATCTACAATGAGGAAACCAAAGACACCTAGAGATGAGGTGACTTTCTCAAGATCGTATAGCCTTTGAGTGGTTGAAGCAGGACTAGAACCCAGATCTTGCCTGGAGCTCCTGGAATACAGAGCTTCTGAAGATTACTGAGCGAAGTAATTTGTGTGAGAACATTGTGAAAACATTAAATAGAGAAAGAAAAGGACTATATTTAGTCATGGCCTACACAGTATACCCTCAGTCACTGAAAACAGCCGTGGTATCTTCACAGGCAGAAAGTATTCGTATTCATGCTATCATATGAATCAATGCAGCATCATGCATATGGTGTGAATTACTAAAAAATTTCTTGTAAAAAAGACTTGAAGAAATATATCAAAACGATGGCTTCTGGGAAGTTGAATTATCAGTGCTTTTCACCTCCCTTCATTCTATTTATAGTTTTATTATATTTGTATTTCTTCTATATTTTCCCAAATGTCTAAAATGCACATCTCATTTTTAACAGGAAAAATATATCCCTCTATCTTTTACTTAAAACAAAAAACATTTGGAAGTAGCTGTGTGCCTTGTGAGAATTTGCAGGAGACAGTTCCTGGATTTTCTATCCTCCCTGTCTCTCTGTTGCTAGGCTGTGGGTTGGGGTCCTGTGCTTTCACCAGCCTCTCTGTGCTGTGCCTTTGAAGGACAGTCTCCTCCTGACCTCTGTTTGCAGACCAGAGTGTCTGTTCTTTATTCAGTTTCCAAAGGAGCACAGGGTACCATCACCCTCTAGTCTCCCAGCGGAGTCCCATGATGGATCCCACTTGCCCGAGTCATGGATTAGCATTTTTCTCCTCGGGATTCCCCAAACTGCCTTGCCTTTAGCTTGCCGGCATTTCTCTCCGGTGGTCATGTGAAAGCCAGTAAAGTGAACCTTCTCCATCTTTGGGGTGACCATAGCCACTCCCAGCCTCCAAGCACTTGCAGGATGTTGACCAGAGTATGCAGTGGTGTGTCCTGGGACACTGTGACTTGTCCTATGCCTCAGTCATCCAGGTGCTGCTCCTCCCAGGTAGATGTGGGGATGGCACTGTAGGGGTCCATGATAACCTTGGCACAGCGGATGATCATGACGATGAGGAAGAGGCAGAGGAAAACGAAGCAAGCCAAAGTCAGCCCCTTGTCCACATCCACATAGACTGGCTCAGGAGTGGGTTCCTCCATCCTGCAGCAGTGACTGTGGGCTCCCAGGGCTCTGGCCTGACTGGTACCATTTTCTACCCCTGAAAAGAGAGCCAGTCAGTGAGGAAGTCAGGGTCACTTGGCTGTTTAAGTTACCCCCAAGGTCAAGGGATTGCTGCTAAGGACACCCCACTTAGGGGCACTCATGGATGCAGCCCTGTCTCTTACAGTCAATCTTTGTTTCCAGAAATCTGCATCCCAGGGTGGTGGTGGTGACGTGACAGTGACTCTCAGCTGGACATGGGTAGAATGGGCTGAGGGACCATCTTGAGGGCAGTGCTCTGTAGCTATCTCCAGTCCTAAAGCCCTTCAGAAAGTCATGAGGGGAACACTCTCCACTCAGCAAATGCAGTGGCAGAGCATGATCAAAACACTTCCAAAAATGGGTGGAGAATGTTTCTTGAGAATTCAGTAGAACCTGGATTTCTAAAGAAACTGAGGGCTCAACAGCCAGTAGGAACAAACAGAAAAGAGCTGTAGAGCAGGGGGAGGCAGGGGGACCGCACTCTTCCAGGGACCCCCCAGGGCTTGCACTGGGACTCAACCTGCCTTGAACCATATGTTGGGGACAGAAGGTGCAAGGTTGGAGCAGTCAGGCAGACCCCAGCCCTGTTTTGCTTCCGTGATGAGTCTGGGGACATCCCTCAAACTCCTGGGCCCTTAGGCCCAGACTCTTAGGCCCAATGCACTTCTTGCTGAGTGCATACCTACTTCATGGGAACTTGTGCATTAAATAAAATTGGTCCTGTGTTCAAAAATCCAGCACAACCCCTGGCCCTGGGATTGGCCAGTTAATAGGTGGGCTGACACAGGACTGGGGGTGGGGCAGGAGAGGAGGTCTAGCTCAGTTCTCAGCAAGGCCAGTAGCAGGGTAGAGAGCATGAGAGTAAGAGCCTGCCCAGCTCTCCCCCCCAGGATCATTTGGTAAATATGGAAACTTAGTTACAAGGCAGATAAATGGCCAGATGGTGGTGGTGCACACCTTTAATCCCAGCACTCGTGAGGCAGAGGCAGGTGGATCTCTGTGAGTTTGAGACCAGCGTGGTCTACAAGAGCTAGTCCCAGGAAAACCTCCAAAGCCACAGAGAAACCCTGTCTCGAAAACAAAAAAAAAAAACAACAAAAAGCAGGTAAATGACAGTCAGCATCCCATGCCCCAACCTCAAAGCATCTTCTGTTCCCCCCCTTAGACCTTCCACATCCTCAACCATCCCTGGACCACTGACCTGCCAGCTGGAGTGGTCAGTGCTTCAGGAAGACCCCGAGTTGATCTGCTCCAGGAGGCAAGATGGACAGCTGAGCATCACAGCTTGGCCAATGAGTCAGTGTGGTTTCTCAGAGAGCAGAGCTGTAGGTGGCTGGAACAGAAGGACAGAGGACTGGATTTTTCTGGAGACTTCTACCCCATGTGAGACCATGGCTGGACAGGAAGAAAGGGTTCCCTCTAGCCCCTCCACACACTCCCCTGTAGATGGAAGTTTCTGTTGTGCCTGGTCCTGCAGCCATTTAGTCCTAAATAAACACGCAGAATTGTATACTGATTATAAACTGTATGGCCAATGACTCAGGCTTCTTAGCTCATGGTGGGTTTTCTTTTCCAGATTAATTTCAGTCTTTAAAAGTTGCATGCAAAGAAATGGGTTTCATTATGGAATTTTCATATACACTTTGTCGTGTTTCACTGATCTTTCCCACTCCCTGGTCCCTGGTGAGATGCTCTATTGTGATTTCAAGTCACATTTATTCTATTGCCTTCTTTTTCTTCCCCATCCTAGTCCTTTTTTATGGTCTCTTTCCTCTCCTTCCCATTGCCCCCTTGTAGTTTTATGTCCTATACCCCAAAATCCCTATGCATATGCACATATATGAAACTAAAGTCCTCATAGGAGAGGAAACACATAGCATTTATCTTTCTGCATCTGACATATTTTACTTAATATAATGGTTTCCAGTCATATCTATTTTCCTGAAAAGATGATGAGTTCATTTTTCTTTATGGCCAAATAAAATCCTTTGTCCTATGTTTTCTTTGTCCACTCATTTTTTGATGGACATCTAAGCTGGTCCCATTTCTTAACTATTGTGAATGGCATAACAATAAATATGGATGCGCAAGTACCTGTGGTATATTGTCGACTTACAGTCCTTCCTTACATGGCCAGCACTTTTTAAACTTTTAAATTTTTGCCACTTTTGGGGTAGGTATCTTCTAGAGGTATTTTTCTTAGTGTTCACAAATGTGTAGAAAAACTGAAACTGAAAGACTTGTAACACACAGTTAGTGACTACCTATCTATCTGTCCTTCCCATTCTTGGGTCCATCTCACCCAAGAGCACTGCAGCATTCGAAATCAGTAACTGGAATTCACTATCTGTTCCTTTGTTTTTACTACGCTTTCTGTGTGAGTGTGTGTACTCACTCATATGTCTCATGGCTCGTGTATGGTGGAGGTCAAGGGACAACTTGGGGGAGTCTGTTCTCTTCACCAAGTGAGTTTGTGACTGATCTCAGGTCATCAGGCTGGGCAGCCATCTCACTGGGCCTCTAGAGTTTCTTTTGCAAAAGTATACTGTTTTTATAAATTGAGAAGTTCATAGATGAAGAGACTAGGATGCAGGGAAATGATGGGGCTGGCTTGCCGTCTCCAACTAATATCACATTGGCACTTGGGGTGAGCCTAGGGTTCTGTTACCCCTCCCCAGGCTTCAGGCCTTGCAGCCAGCATGGTCTCCACATGGCCACTGAGTGGCTTTCTGAGAGGAAGAAATGCTGAGATTTCTGCTCCTGGGTTGCAGAGCAGAGCTAAGTCCTCTAGTTTTTCAAGAGCTGACTGAAGTTCTAGGCAAGTGGCCTCAGGTAAGTATCAGATAGTTTTTTCACTGCATGGATGAGACTGCAACACACTTACCCTGTGACCCACTCCTGTCTTGCTTGGCTCTATATCTTGGAGGTTCACCTTAGAGGAATATGATCAGTGTCTCCTGGCCCAGGGGCAAATGCCAAGAATGTGATCTCAAAGACCAGACTCATTCATGCAACCCTCCAGATGGAGAATGCTTGTTAACCTTAATTACTATGAGAGTACAAGTTCCAGACAGCTCTGTTTCAAAGTGCGGACATGACTCCGGGGAGGGAACTCAACTTGGAACTCAGCTGCTGTATCCTGGGAACTGAGCTGTAGGCTTTCACAGTCACCTGCTCAGTTGGTTCCAACATAACTACATCCTCTTCTCACACTGAGTGGCCTAAGCCAGTGTTTATCCTCAATCCTCTGGCTTCAGGTGGAAGACTCAATGCTGGTGACTCTAACCTTGGTGAACAAGTGACATTTAGGCTTTTGAGTTGACCTTGCAGTCTTTTCAAGGCTGGCAGTATCACGGTTGGGTTGTAGAAGACCAAGAAGGAAAGAGTCCTTCCAAATGCCAGGAAAAGGTAGGGTGTGAAATAAAGAATATAAAATGAAGGATCTGTGGTGCATATCTTTAATCCCAGCACTTGGGAGGCAGAGGCAGGCGGATCTCTGTGAGTTCAAGGCCAGCCTGGTCTACAGAGTGAGTTCCAGGACAGTCTCCAAAACAATACAGAGAAACCCTGTCTCGAAAAACCGATAGATAGATAGATAGATAGATAGATAGATAGATAGATAGATATAGATCGATAGGTAGAATGTAGAATCTGGGAGCAAAGTCTGAGTCAGAGGTGTAGATAAACCTAGGGATATGGTGATCACAACTAAGAAAGCAGACAGACACAGGGTTTGTTCAAATTTGCGTACTATGCCAGGCCAAGTTGGAGATGCTCAGGGGACGCTCTCAGCTGGCGAATATGTACCTTCTCACAAGGCCACTATTGTCATTAGATTGAGATCCCACTACTGTGACATACTTAATCTTTTTTATATAACTTTTTTATTCTTAAAATTAGCCTATAATGTATTAGTTGTCATTATAACATTTTCAAACCAAGTATGTTTTAGTGATTTTCCTCCTCTGATCTCCCCACCTCCTCCTCCCCCAGATTCCTCCTTGTAGCTTCTCCCCAAGTATCTTTTTTTCTTATCTGTACCATGTGTGTTTCTGACCACTTCTGAGCCTCTCTTATTGGCTATCTTAACCATAATTACTCCTAAAACCCTACCTTCAAAACACTGTCAGCATATGGATCTGGGGGACAGAGTTCAAAACAGGGCAGTGACCGGGTTGAGGGCACTGCCACCTTACACCAGGACTAGGTCCACTCCTGTTGGCCTCCAGATGAGAACTCATATTTGGCCTCTTCCTTCCAGAACCAACGGTATTGAGAGAACATGCCACTTGCCTTTGAAGGGATGAGCAGCAGGCTGCAGTAACATTGTGAATTCATTCAGGGCAACAAGAATCAAGGCTGACAATGAGCATTAATCAGGTTGTTCTATAAATAGAAGCAGAACCATTATAGAAGGTGACCTATCTGAATCACCTCCCCAGCTGACAAATTGGTTAAGTGGATGTCATTTTCCCAGGTCAGAGGGAACCAATCACATTGTCTAGTGGGACTGTGCTTGGTCACTTCACTCTTTATGAGAACACTTAGTTGGACTGTCAAAAAAAGGTGATGAGTGCATGCAACTGATAATGGAAACCATGACAACCGTTAGGATTGAGAAGAACATGGGTGGAGGAACTAGTGGAATTCAGTACTGTGATCAGGGCTTAACTTCACTATCTGGATGGACACCTCTGGTCTTTTAGAAGCTGCCCATAGCACTGCTTCAGGTAAGAGCAAAGAGTATTTCTGCTATGGTCATTGTACCGTGTGTGTGTGTGTGTGTGTGTGTGTGTGTGTGTGTGTGTCTGTGTCTGTGTCTGTGTCTGTGTCTGTGTCTGTGTGTCTGTTTGTCTTTGTGTTTGAGACAGGATCTCTTTGTGTAACAGCACCCAGCTGTCCTGGAACTCGCTCTGTAGACCAGGGTGGCCTCGAACTCAGAGTTCCACCTGCCTTTGCCTCCAGAGGGCTGGGATTAAAGGTGTGCACCACCATATCAGTTCTACTGTGTGGTTTTGTAATGTGGTGCTAGTGCCATTTGTCTGCCAGATCGTCCTTGTCATTCCATATACACAACCTCCCACTACAGAGTGGTTCTCTCCTAACAGCTCATTAGGTTTCAAAGGCTGATGTCCCTAACATACTACATGTGCAGAGCTGAGCATACCTGGGAATTGTCACCCTGGGGTGGCCCATAGCTAAAGATGGATGCTGTAATCCAAATTACTAGTCTTGTGTGGAAGCAAATTTTGTTCATATTTTAGATATCAAATTACCTTGGTACAGCGAGGCGAAGATGTCTTTCTCCCAAAACTGCATGTTTACTAAGTAATCTCAGCTTCCTCCAATTCTATGATGATTTCTCCTGGAGCACTCTAAGATTAAACCCTATACATTAGTCATTTTCTCAGAGCCTGCTTTCATGGTCAGCTGACCCCAAACGGACAGACATTGGTTCCTTGTATTTGTCCCACACTGAGATGTTTAACTCCACATAATGTGCTTGTGATATTAAGTTTGAATCAGACCTAGTCCTTGTCCTCAAATATTTCAGGCTACCACACCAAGTGGCAAAAAGAAGTGCAAGAATTGTGACATTGATGCAAGGAAATCATGCTTAGAGAAAAGGCCAAAGATGGGATTAGACAACCTTTTGATAATATTGAAATAATTAGATGTGCCACCCAGGGGTCTCCTCAGCCATCTCAGCAGGAGTTAGGGTTAGAGAGGGAGTGTCCAGAAAAGAGACTTGCAAGACCCTTTGGTCTAGTGGAGTGAATCCCCATGATAGTCATAGGAGAGATACCATTTTTTGAGATGTCATGGCAACAGAAGTACAGCCAGCTTAGATTAAAATGGACAGAATGAAATGAGAAGATGCTGTTGGCTCCTGGAATTGTCATGCTGATGAGAGTTATGTTACTGCTAAGAGAAAAAGGATGGGTCCCAGAGCACAGAGAACAGAGAGGGTGGGTGCAAAAGGGAGCACCCTAACTAAACAGGAGTAGACTCTCAGGCTTTGGAAACAGGTCAAGTGTTTCTGATTGGATTTTGAAATTTCATGGGACTAATGACTCCTTTCTTCCCCCATTTGTTTTTCCTTTTTTGAAATGAGAAAGCATTTAACAGCTATTTTTTGCCTGTCATACCACTGCATTTCTGAAGAAGATAATTTGTTTTCTAGGTTCATAGACATTGAAGAATTTCCCCTGGGGTGACTCATACTTACACCTTACCCTTGTCTTACAGAGATGATGAGATTTGAGACCTTGATTTTATGCTGTAATGAGCTGAAAGTTTGGGGATGTCGGGATGGAATGAAAGAACACATGAACAGTATGAGTCTTTGGACTATGGAAGGTTCACAATTATTTGCCACAAATTCACACTATAATCCTTGGAAATTGTGGATGTTTTAGGATTAAGGGATTTTGAAGATTTGATTATGTTAAAAATATATTATTCTGAGTTATCTTGGCTCTAAGTAATCACAAGTATCCTGATATATAGGAGGCAGAGGGAGTTTTCGCTGTAGTAGAGGAGAAGGCAAGGTGATCATAAGCCAGGACTTATGTGGCCAGGAGCCAATAAATTTTGGCAGCTTCTAGTAGTGGAAGAGAAAAGGAATGGATTTTTCCTTGGAGTCTCCAGAAATAATATAATACCTTGATTTTTATCCCTTAAGGTGCATTTTGGATGCCACATTCCCATAACCACAAATAAATACTTTTGTGTTGTTTTAAGTTATCAGACTCTACTAACTTATCACAGGGCCAATGGGAAACTCATAAGGGTGTCTTGAAAAGTTTCAGAATAGTGCATATTTACTCATAATCTTTAATAATATGTCTTAGAGATGTCTTTCCCTATTATAGTGGTAGTCATTTATCATCCATTTTAAGGCCAGCCCTGCCCATTTGTCACTGTTTCTATGTGGTTACAAAAAAGCTACTATCTGCTTTGTTTTGGGACAGGGTCTCACCTTGCAGCTAAGCCTGGTTAATCCTTTAGATCCTCATGTCCAGTCTACAAAAGACACAAATTATTTCTGCACTGTTCCCCTAAGCTCAGAGAAATGGGAACAAACCAACCAAGGGCACATGAGAGTATAGTGTTTGCTATGAGATAGATGAACATGACTCACTGACATATGGTTGGAAAAACTGCACCTCAAAATTGAACCAAGGACCAAATTGAGGGAGGGAGGTGTGCACCCACT